AGGCATCATAAGAATATAGAGATTTTAAGGAAAAAAAACAGGATTTGAAAGATAACATTGTATTTATCAGACTATCAACATAACATTTTGTTCCCTAGTAAATGTATCATGTAAGAACTTTATTTAAGGAAAATGTTTGCATCATATATGTATGATGAAATCATAAGATATTTGAAACAGTTTCTTGGCATATATCACCAAATTTGAAGTGCAAGTACAAACCAGAATTACTGAGTTTTATGTATTCAAACTGCCCAAATGCCAGCTATTTAAACAAGTGGTTAGTACTACCTTGGTGGATTTAAATATTACATTAATGATGGATTGTTTGTATTATACCAATTTTATCTCCAGATATGGATGTGGAGATTAGACAGATATCATTTTTATATGGTAGTACGGTAATCACTACCAATGTTAGTGTTTTACAATTATTATAGTGCCATCAAACTTGTATACTTTTAATTTTTTTATAATTTTAGGCACTAATAGTTCATCTAAGGATAAGTTACTGACATATGCCCTCATTCATGATTATTTTAGTGTTTCCTACGAGTGAAAATATGCTGCATAACTACATTAAAACCATGAAAATGAAAATAAGGAGAACTCTTGTAGAGTGTGTCTTGGATGGACTTTTCTACTTTCTTAATGACTGGAACCTGACCACACACTTTTTAGCAAGAATATTACAAATGTTGTTTTCTCTTTGAATATCATCACGTGACTTATAATTTTAATTTCCCCATTACTGATGATGTTAACATTGCTCATTAACAGTGAGATTTGTGAGGTTTCTCTTCTGTGATGTTGCTTTTCCCTTTGTAATTATTTTGTGTTCTTTGGGGAGATAATTTGAGGCTCTGTTCCTCATTCAACTTTCAATTTAATTATTTACTTGTATCTAAATGGATACATGGTTTACTGTATTGAGTGTACTATAATTTGTTCATATCATTTTAAAAACTCAATTTTCTTTTAGAAATGTTCTGTTTTGACAATTTCAGACTTATAGGACATTTGTTAACAGTGGTATAAAGAATTCCTAGAGGGCTGGGGTGTGGCTCAGCGTTATAGCGCTCACCTCGCACATGCGAGGCCCTGGTTTGAACCTCAGCACCACGTAAACATAAATAAATAAAAGATATTGTGTTCAATTAAAACTAAAAAAAAAAAAAGAAAAAGAAAAAAATAATTCCTAGAGGGGCTGGGGTTTTGGCTCAGTGGAAGAGCACATGCCTAGCATGTGTGAAGCATTGGGTTTCATCCTCAGCATCACACACAAAAAAAATAGTTATTAAAAAATCAATATTGGTTTATAGAGTTAAAGAAAGTAACAAATATATGTTTTGAAATAAGAGATTAATGAATAGAAAAGGTATGTACAATATGTTTATTTCCATTCTCTTTTAGGTTTACTAGATGTTTTCATGATTTTTTTTCTTTTAATTGTAGATGGACACAATACCTTTATTTCTATGTGGTGCCAGGGACCGAACCCAGTGCCTCACGCATGCTAGGCAAGCGCTCTACCACTGATCCACAACTCCAGCCCCTGTTTCCTTGAATTATTTTTAAAGGTAGAGGAAATAAGATGTAATTGGCTATGGTGACTTTAACTAGTTGCTGGGCTGTTTCTTTAAATGACCTTTCCTTTAGAGTTTAGCGATCAATGAAGAAAAGATCTAAATGTGGAACACAGTTGTATTTTGATGAATACACACTGCAGATATTACAGTTCCCCCAAAGGACCCTAGTTCAAGCAGTTCATCACAACCACCCAAGTCAGAGAACCTTAACATGTAGTTTTATTCTCTTGAGCTGCTCTACTTTTCCAATGTTATATGGATTAAATATAAATTAGAACAGAATCCTATCGATGGACTATTGATTAGACTCTTTTGCTCTTATAAACCGTGCTCAGTGAATGAATGCTGTTCACTCATATACAGCAACCGTATCTGTGAGGTAATTTCAAGAATGGATTTACAGAATAGGTTCTTTCTATTGTTTAATATCACTGTACTTCCTTTTTGGGTGAACACTTATATCTTTTCCTTCTTCTTGACTTATAGAAATTATTCAGATATTAATGAAATGATCACTTTTCCTATGATTATAGTTATATATCATCACCTTTCCAGTTTTGTTGGTTGCCATGGTTTATTTTTGTGGTTGCCTTTCTTTCATGAGTTCTGAATTTTGTGTCACAAGAGGTGAACTTTTTCCTTTTTGTGATTATAATTATCTGTTTAATTCACTATGCACTAATAATTGGCCTATCTGGATTTATTTTAGTGTAATATCAGAGGTCCATGATCAATGATGAGTGGCTGGGGTTGTGGCTTAGTGGTAGAGCACTTGCCTAGAACATGTGAGATACTGTGTTCTATCCTCAGTACCATATAAAAATAAATAAAACAACGGTACTGTGTCCATCTACAACTAAAAATATTTTAAAAAGAAAAAGAATGAGTGCTTGCTGTCAACCAAAAATTGTGCTACCATTTCCATAATACAGAATTGCTACTGAAACTTGGATCCCTCACCAAAGATTGCTTTTTCTTTTCTTTTTTTTAATATTTATTTTTTAGGTGTAGATGGACACAGCACAATGCCTTTATTTTTTTTATGTGGTGCTGAGGATTGAACCCCGGTCCCACCTGTGCTAGGTGAGCGCTCTACCGCTGAGCCACAATCCCAGCCTCAAAGATTGCTTTTTCTAGTGCTTTGTTTCCTTGTGTTGTCATGTGACCAATAAAGCTACAGAAAATAAGTAGAAGTGATATGTGTCACTTCCAGGTCAAGACCTTTAACAAGTTCTCAGTCCCATCCCATTACCTAGACACAAGCAACACAGGAGCCCATTTGAAATGTGGCATTATAAGTTGGCAGGGACTGAGTTCCTGAATCTCACTGAGCAAGGCAGCTATGCACCAAGAACATCTATAGTGATTATTTCGTAATTAAGAAATACATTGTGGGGCAGGGATTGTGGCTCAGTGGTAGAGCACTCGCCTAGCACGGGCAGGACCCAGGTTCGATCCTCAGCACCACATAAAAATAAAGGCATTGTGTTGTGTCCATCTACACCTAAAAAATAAATATTAAAAAAAGGAATACATAGTTTGCAATCAGCCATTAAAATGTTGCAACTTACTAAAGGGGCTAGGGTCTTTATTAATAAAGGACCCAGTGAAATCATATACGTCTGGGTACATTTCATTTTATTCAGTGAGCACTCTGCACCGACACTAAAAGGATGTGTTAGTTACAGAGCATTTGTAAATGAGCAGGAGGAAAGGTGGTTTTTCAGTGGATGATTTTCAGAGTCAACTACTAGTAAAGTAGAATTCTACTCAGTGCACTGGTGTCATCTACATCACTAGATTAGACCTTGGCAGAATCTGAGATACAGCAAACCAATCCAGCTTTATTTTAATTCAACAATTATTATAAATTCTTCATTTAAAATAAGAAATCCAGAAAAAATTTAAATTAGATGATTTATCAGGACACCAGTAGAAAACCAGTTTGGGCTGCTGAAGAAACTTTATCAATGACCTATGTTAAGTAGAAAAGCCCTTCATTTTCTTTATTTTATTATTTGGGTACTGGGGAATGAACTCCAAAGCACTCAACTACTGAGTCACATCTCCAGCCCAATTTTGTATTTTATTTAGAGACAGTGTCTCATTGAGTTGCTTAGTTCCTTGCTTTTGCTGAGGCTGGCTTTGAACTCTCAATCCTCCTGCCTCAGCCTCCTGAGCCTCTGGGATTATAGGCCTGTGCCACTGCGCCTAGCCCTTCATTTTTAAATATGAACGGATTCAAAAGATCACATCTGAGGAACAAATGAAGGAGGAGGAAGATGAGCTAATGTCATAATTGAAGTACTAAGCTACTAATACTTGGTGATTAACCTGATGTTGAGTTAAAAATTATTCAAGACTGGCAACAATCATTTTTTCTTTTTATTTTCTGTCAGATTTAGCAACGCCTGACCCTTTGAGGAACCACTTTGGAAATCAATCTTGTCTTAAAATGGAAAGTTTTTGTGAATGAATCTTCTTTTAATTTTTTTTTAATTATTGGTTGTTCAAAACATTACAAAGCTCTTGACATATCATATTTCATATATTTGATTCAAGTAACTTGTTCAAAAAGTTATGAATCTTTAAAGTATCAATGAAGGAAACACCAAACTTATTTGAAGTCTTCAGTAAATTGAAATTATGGAAGACACATTCTCTAAAAGGAGAGCCATTTAAATAAACACTACAGGGCTGGGGTTGTGGCTCAGTGGTAGAGTGCTTGCCTAGCACCTGTGAGGCACTGAGCTCGATCCTCAGCACCACCTAAAAATAAATAAGTAAAATAAAGGTCTAAAAAATGAATAAAATAAATTATCACTACACTAAGAGAAGAAGTGAACAATTAATTAAACAAGGAGAGCTTAAACACTGTACATGATTGAATTTTGAAATATTATAATTTTGAGATAGGGTCTCTCTAAGTTGTTTAGGGCCTCACTATGTTGCTGAGGCTGGCTCTGAACTTTTAATCCTTCTGTCTCAGACTCTAAAGCCACTGGTGTTACAGGTGTGTGCTATAGCACCTGGCTAAATTCTCAACTTCTATGAAGAGTTTTTTTGATGAGTTTCTACTTTGGGAAATAAATTTATATTCTGCATTGAAAAAGAAAAAATATATATATTTTTGGCAATACCTCTGTTGGATTTGGTAAAATGTTCAAGATAACCAAAACAGAAATTATGTGATGAGCCTTGCCTTATCAAACATAATAACAAAATGATAACCCCAATGAAATAAAGATAGTAATAATGAAAATATTTGGAATGAAATATTTAAGTATTTTAATGTACAAAAATGTAACAAATAACCTTCATATAGTAGAATTTGCCTAAGCATATCAGGAATCTTATCACATGTACAGTTATTTTTTTCAATAAAATATGAGCCACAGCAAGGAAACTATAGAAGGTGTCAATAACTCAAATTTATTAACAATAATGCAAACTTGAAGAATATTATAATTTCTGAATCAACTAAAAATAACAAACACATATTCCTAATTAGAGGTCCAGAACGACAGGAAAGAATGTAACAGAAAAACATTTAAATAAATTTAAAAAGATATTTCTAGATATAATAGAAATTATCAATCCAGAAAAGGCAATATTTGGGGTTCAGGAGAAGACAGCCCATGAAATTTGTAACGAAAAACCATTTTTATTGAATGAATAATTAAAACTAGAAATGAACACACTCAAGACTCATTAATTATTTAAAGAGAGAAAAGAAAAGCTAAATATGCAGGTTAATCTTGGCCTGGCTTGCTTGTGGCTCGGTGATCACTGTTGTCAGGCAGCTGTACTCCCATGCTCTGTAAGAGGTTGGAGGCAGGTCCTGCCAGTCCAGCTTGGGAGCTGTAGGATTCCAAAATATTTGAAACCAGGTTCAGGTCTATATCCACTGGTTCCATAACAGAATCTCCTGCACCAGAATCTTCCTCATCTGAATTGTTACTGGCAGTCTGGGATGGAGGTTCCTTATTCTGGAAGGAAAAGAAAATCACAGAATAATATCCCCTTAGGCTGAATGTTTATTACAGTAAAAAGCTACACAAAGCAACAATGTATATTTGAATTTCAAATTTAAAATGTAATTTCATATCTCCTGTGATATAAAGTAAAAATGAAGTCTAATAGTCTACATGATTTAACACATTAAAACTTGATTTCAAAGATTATGACAGTTTGTTCTAGGAAAAATTTCTTTTCTTTTTGTTGTTAGTACTAGGAATTGAACCCCAAGTATATAACCACTGAGCTGCATTATATATTGATTTATTTTAATTTTGAGACAGGATCTTGCTAAGTTGCTTAGGGCCTTGCTAAATTGCTGAGGTTGGCTTGCTTTGAACTTACTATCTTTATGCCTCAGCCTTCAGAGTCACTGGGATTACAAGAGTGCACCACCACACCTGCTTCTAGCAAAAATTTCTGCAAATTGGATGATTTCTATCTCTATTTTGAAATAGCCTGCCATGACACATGTCTGTAATTCCAACAACTGGGAAGGCTAAGGCAGGAGGATCACAAGTTCAAGGCCAGCCTGGGCAACTTCTTCTTAGCAAGACTGCCAGTAACAATAAAATTTTAAAAAAAGAGCATAAAAGACCTAAAAAGAGCATTAAAAGACCTAAAAAGAGCATACTACAGGGACACAGCCACATCAATGTTTATAGCAGCACAATTCACAATAGCTAGACTGTGGAACCAATCTAGATGCCCTTCAATAGACGAATGGATTAAAAAAATGTGGCATTTCTACACAATGGAATATTACTCAGCACTAAAAAATAACAAGATCATGGCATTTGCAGGGAAATGGATGGCATTAGAGCAGATTATGCTAAGTGAAGTTAGCCAATCCCTAAAAAACAAATGTCGAATATCTTCTCTGATATAAGGAGGGTGTCTCAAAATGGGATAGGGAGGAAGAGCATGAGAAGATTACCACTAAATAGGGAAGAGAGGTGGGAGGGAAAAGGAGGGAGAAGGGGAGTTGCACAGAAGATGGAAGGAGACCTTCATCGTTATACAGAATACATGTATGATGTTGTGAGGAGAAAAAAAAAGTGTGTCATGTTAGATTGGATAGAGAGAAGGGATGGGAGGGGAGGGGAGGGGAAGGGGGGATAGGAAGGGCAGAATAGACATTATGATTGTTGTATGTATATAGGTGACTATATGACAATGTGATTCTGTAATCTGTACAATCAGAAAAATGATAAATTATACCCCAATTGATTCAAATGTATGAATTGCCAAGATCATTGTAATGTCATGTGTAGCTAATAAAAAATAAATAAGGTAGAACAATTTTAAAGAACAGATTTCAACTTTTTGTTCATTATATTATGAAAGATGGTGCATTGGAGTGCTTTAAATCTTTTAAACCTTTGCTGTGGTTGCAAGAATAGTGGGCAAAAAAGGGGAATTTGTCATTGTCATTCTGTTTTTATTATTAGTGCCTATTGTAACTTTGGACGCTAGACCTAGACCTTACGCTGCTTTCATTCATTTGTACATTAAACTGAAGAGCAGGTATTTAGTATTTTTTTTAACTCTTTTGGTTCTAGTCACATACTATAGCACCAGCATCATTTGGCTAAGAAAAAGATCATATTTAATACAGGAAGCTATGAGCTAGTGCTGTTTCCTGTTAGAGATTGTTTTATAAAGTTTTATGACTGGGTGGGGGTAAAAGGCTGCAGGCAGCAATAATCTCACAAAGTAAATATTTGTTCTTCTAAAAAAAAAATTAAAAGTCTGAGGATTTAGCTCAGTGGTAAGTGGTAAAGTACCCTTGAGTTCAATCACCAGTACTATTAAAGAGAGAGAGAGAGAGAGAGAGAGAGAGAGAGAGAAACAAAATTAACATTAAAAAAAGACAAAGAACTTCCATGATAATTGAAGGATTATCAGTGGAGTAGGGGAAGGGGATGGAGGGGAGAGAGGAAGGACAGGAAAAGGGAAGAATGGTGGAATGCAATTTACCAAACTATGCTATGTAATATATGAATATACCACAGTGAATTTCACCTTTATGTACATCTATAAAGCACTAATTTAAAAAAACTATAAATAAGTAGAAAGGAGATCAGCAGAGTAGAGGCGGGGAACAGGGGAAAGGAAGAAGGAGAGGAAGAGAAAGTACTTGGGATTGAAATGGAACAAATTATATTCCATACTTATATTATTATGTCAAAAAGAGCCACAATACTATGTATAACTATAATACACTAATTTAAAAAAAAGACAAGAATCTAAATTTTCTCTTAAATATAAGAAGCTAGATTTCTTTTTCTCCAATAACAAAGCTTAAAGTAAAAACCTAAGGCTTGTGGAGTCCAGCCATAAAGACACTGACTTGCTACTTGGTCTCTGATTTCACAGGCTGGGAAAAAGATTTGAAAGATTGTACTTTGTGACTCAAAGTGTTGTCTACATAGCAGCACCCATATAATTTATGGCTTGCTATAAATAGAAAATTTCAGGCCTCATCCCAGATCTGCTTAATCAAAATCAAAACTGTAACAGATTCTTAGGTGGTTTATATTCACAACGAAATTTAAGTACTGCTTTAGATAAATCTAATATATGGTTTCCATTAGAGTTTGGCAATACTGAAAGCAATTAGAGCTTTAAATATGGTTTAGATGATCAAAGCAAAGGAAATTAACTTTAGTTAGACACCTATTATGGGTTTCATTGTTGTCTCTTTTGGTTCAAGTTAGTTCTGTGACATGAGGATTACTGATTAATGGATTCATTCACAGTGGATTGTTGAGCTGGATATCAACCTCTGATCCATGAAACTCCAGGGTCCACGCTCTTTCCATAAAGTCTCTTAAGACTCGACAGTGCTGGCATAAAAACTAGGATAAAAATGTGATGGAAAATGATTCTAAATTTGGCTTTAAATTGGGGAAACACAGAAAACAAGATTTGGAATTGTTTGGATATTTAAGATTGTCTCTTGCTTTTATAAAATCCATTTATTATGGCAATAGTAGTGCATAACCACATATTCATTTGAGTACATTATATGACTATCTTATAGATAGCATACAATAAGTAATACATGTTCAGAAAATAAAATGTATAGCCTTTACTTTTTGGTACTGAAGACTGAACAAGTGGTCTTGTGTATGCTAAGTACATGCTCTACCACTGAGCTACACCCCAAGCTTTTTAAAGACAGGATCTCACTATTTTGTCTATACTAGCCCCAAACTCCTGGGTTCAAGGAATTCTCTTGCTTCAGTCTCCCAAGCAGCTGGGAACACAAGCACCAGCTATGTGTATATACCATGCCTAGTTTATACAATCTAGGAAAAAATTAACATTCTTGGGGCTGGGGTATATATAGCTCAGTGGTAGTGTGTGTGTGCTTAGCATATACAAAGTCCTGGGTTTGATCTCCAGCATCCGTCACCACAAATTAGTATTCTTCTTTATTTCAAATATCACCATCATAAGAAAAGAAAAACTAAGATAGAATATGACTTTAGCAATCCTACAAAACATACTTTAAGAAAGAGGTTAAAAACACACTTACCAGCTGTTTCCGGGTAGTAAAACTTTTGCCAATGTTGGTATGTGCCAGTTCCTGGTCCATCTGGGCCATGTATGACTTAAGATCATCAAAAGTTCCTTTCAGAGATACCTCTTCACCAGCTTCTTGTGTTTCTAGGTCTACGTCATCATCACTGTCTAAACATTCAAAGTCTTCCTCATCTAGATCATCAGAATCTGATTCATGAGGTCTTGGCCCTATTTAGACCCCAACATAAAATGAGCCCGTTGGCAAATTTTTTTGAGTGGTTACACTTCTCAAAAGAATTATGTTATACACAGAACAGGATCAATATAGACAGGCAAACTACTTCACAAAAATCCCTTCCAGAAATGGGAAGGTTATTAGATATTTGCAGGAAAACCCAGGCTGAGCCAATTAAGCTTTTAAAATAATAATATTATTATTATTTTGTGGTGCTGGGGTTTGAACACAGGACCTTGTGCATGAGAGGCAAAACTAAGCTATATCCCCAGCCCCTTAAATTTTTAAAAAGTAAACTCAATTAATTAAAATTTTTTTCTTAATTAAAAACCTAGTCTGGGAGTGTAGCTCAGTGGTAGAGCATTTACCTAGCATGGTTTCATTCCCCAGAATGGCAAAATAAAAAATAATAACAAAAATAAAAAAATATATATATCTTGATGTAAATATTCAAACCATAGTACTGTCTCATAACTCACTCTTTTTGTGTGTGTGCGCGCGAGTGCGATGTGATACTGAAAATGGAAGCCGTGTGTTTGTGTGTGTGTGTGTGTGCACATGCGCACGTGCACGTGTGCATGCGGATGTGATGTGATACTGAAAATGGAAGCCAGGGCCATGTGAATGCTAGGCAAGTGCTCTACCACTGAGCTACATCCCCAGATCTTTTTACTTTGAGACAGGATCTTGCTAAGTTGCCCAGGCTGGCCTAGAATTTGCCATCCTTCTATCTCATATTTCTGAATAGCTGGAGTTACAGGTGTGCAACACTCTCGCAGTTCCCTCTCTTCTCAGAGACTTTTTTTTTTCTTTCTTTCTTTTAACTATGGATTGAACCCAGGGGCACTTAACCACTGAGCCACATCCCCAGCCCTTATTTTATTTTTTTATTTTCAGACAGGGTCTCTGGCTAAGTTTCTTAGGGCTTCACTAAATTGGTCAGGCTGGCTTTGAATTTGTGTTCCTTCTGTCTCAGACACATCTTTTAACAGTTTAATCAGATTTCATCTTTTAACAGTTCTGCATAAATTAAGGTTTGGATACTGACTAAACTGTTATAGATGTATATAAACATACTTTATGTCACAGTGTTCATATTGAAATGAGGTTTGCTTTTCCACTTATTTAAACGTCTTAGAGGTCTTCCTCTGTCAGAACATACAAATGACTTCATTTTTATTATGGTTGTAGAGATTTTATAATATAGACATACCGTGATTTAATTAATCATTCCCTCTTGGTAGACATCTATTGGTGGACATTTTGGATATTTCAATATTTTGCTACTATAATGATGCAGTGACCATCTTAGCACATTTATCTTTTTCATAGAGTAAATTCATGGAAGCTAAATTGCAAAGTCAAAAATTATGAACACTCTACAGTGCCAAACTTCCTTGTGAAAACACAATTTACACTTCTATCCCTTGAGTTTGACAATGTTCATTTTTCCAACCCTTAAAATAAATTGATGGGACTGATGTTACAGCTCAGTGGTGGAACACTTGCCTTACACTGGGTTCGATTCTCAGTGCCACATAAAAATAAATCAGTAAAATAAACGTATTAAAAAAAAAGAAATGGCCATTTTAAAAAAATAAATAAGGTGGTTATTATCAATCTTAAAAAATTTTTCCAATATTATAGGCAAAAAAATTCAAACTTTTTTTATGCATTCACTTGCTTACTAGGAAGAATTAATTATATTCAAACATTTACTAAATATATTTCTTCTTCAATGAACTGCCTATTCATATCCTATGTTGATTTTCTATTGAGCTGTTAGCCATTTTCTTATTGATATGTAAATATAGACTATCTGAAAGAGGAAAAAAAGCAGTATAATACAGAAGCCAAGGTAAAACCTATCTGTACACATAAACTCATTCACTTAAATATTTCATAAGCAGCAACTATGTCAAGCACTGACTAGAAGCCTCTATAAAAATCACTAAACAGGGCAGTAATTTATTGTTGAAAGCAACTCAAAACAATGAAGAAAAAACAGTTTTGACTTCTCAGTGATCTAATGCTCCAATTCTCTAGCAACAGCCATACTCCTTACAATTTCAAAATAAGTAAACATCACAGTGTAACTCACCTAAAATTTTATCGAAATAATTAAGAAAGGAATCTGCATCAAAAGTGATTGGTGCCTCAGAAGGTTCTCTGCAAGATAAAGGCAAAAGACAATTTATTCTGAATGCAAGTCTTTGAGACTTTTGCTAAAGTGGTGCCATTCTTAGGAAAAAAAAATATCAAAGAGGGACAGAAAAAAAAAATGGCAGTTTTAATGTCTTAATTTAAAAAAAAGTTCTTGTGCTTACTGGCCTTGCAGAACAACAAAAATAGGAAAGTCTGATGAAAAAAGTAAGAATTTCACCTCATCTGTGCATGTTTAACTTATGCATTTAGGGACCGATTCACTATATGCCCCCTATAAGGTATTTCTAGCATTAGTCAAAGTATGTATTTATCTGAGTTCATTTACATAAAGTTTATTCCTTTTTTAAAAAAACCAAAGCTTGAAAAATAAATAAGAACATACCTTCCCTCATCTCTGCCTTCTTAAAAAGAAAATGAATATCAATTTTAATCTCTCCAGAAGGCTCAAGAGCATCTGCACTAATAAAGATACATTTGCTGTCTAAAGAGCAATTCTACCTTTTCTCCTTATTACTTGACAAAATAATTTCACATTTCTTCTGTTTTATTTCTGCCTCAGATGAGCCCTTCTGTCCCCTTTTGAGTTTGTAGCTCCCAGTCTGCTTGTGGAGTATGAGATCAGAAGCCTAAATTTGTTGAGAGGTAGACGCTAAGAATCCATGAGGCTCCGGATAAACGTCTACAGAGTAAAGGGCATGGTTTCTGCCATGGTTCTTAAATCTGTTAAGGAGTCTTTCTGGCTTCTTTAAGGACTATAAGGGATCAGGCTACTAGAACTCTGACTTCCTATGGGTAAATTATCACCAATACCAGGCAACAAAAGAGGTGGAAAAGAAGTACAAATCATTTACTAAAAAAAAAGGAAATGGCATTTCCCATTGACTAGATGACTTCAATATTGACTTATAACTATTTAGATATTTATACTTTAACACAAATTACTGAGGTAGCTCTGCTCCCTTGTGGGTTGAGACTTTGGATATGAAAGCTTTCATGCTCTCTGAGACTTGAGTTAAATCATAGTCCTGCTCCTCCTTCTTGGAAATGGGCTGTGATTCTTTTTTGCCAGCAGCTTCTTGAAGTAGCTGCTCCAGCTGATCTGGTGAGAGATCTAACCACCGGTCATCTGAAAAAGAAGCAAGCATGATATTGCCATCCTAAAGTTGCCTGAGAAAAAGTCTTAGGAAAGACCCTATGAGACTTAATGGGATACTTTAATTCTTTCTAACCTTCTTTCTGTATCCTAATCCATCACTTACCATCCTCTGGGTGAAGATTAGTTTCTTCTTTCTTAAGCTCTTCTATATCAAATGGTATTGTCTGTAACATGGTTAAGATTTCTTCACCTGGACTCATAGCAAGAGAACTATTTAAAAAAAAAAAAAAGACATTAGTATTTCTTTATAAGAGAGCCTAGAAGAGCGATGATAAAAACACAGTATTATGGGCTGAGGTTGTCGCTCAGTGGTGCAGCATTTGGCTAGCATGTGTGAGGCACTGGGTTCGATCCTCAGCACCACATGTAAAAAATAAATAAATAAAATAAAATAAAACAGTATTTAAAAATCGGTAGTCCATTTTGTTTTAAACATTGTTTTGTTTGTTTTGTTTTGTTTTAGATTGCAGACTCCTTTTTCTCAAAATAAAATTTTACCAGGAAGCATAAAATATAGAAAAGTTCAAGAAAAATGGCTTTGATTACAGCAGAGAACGGAAGCTCAGGGACCTACCCATTTTTGCCTTCCCCTTTGTTCAGGAGCACCACTATGAAGTTGTTGATCTAATACAACCCTTTCAATTTATATATTTATATATAAGTATATTTTATATATATTAATCTTCCATGTATGACATGCTATGTTAGTGCACTTTAAGTACATTTTCTTTTTTGGTCCTCTAATTACTGTTTTGAAGAGGTAACAATTCTGTTTTATATGAGACTACCAGAGCCCAGAGAAGTTCTATAACTTTTGCAAGTTCATTTAATTGACAGAGGAAAGTCTGGAAATCAAGTCTTCTGATATTATTTTGTGTTCTGCTAAGAAAATATGCATAGGGATTGTTTATATGATGAGTAAGTTACTATATGATGATGATATGGCTTGTTATATAAATTACTGGAACCCAGTATAAATTGTTTAGAATGGAACAAATTAAATTGTAGAAAGAACCTGCATTAATTTAACAAGTATCTGCATACTATGCAAAATCACATGGGTGATGGGAAATTGTTCCTATCTTATACTATGTAAACATTATCAGGAGAGAGAAAAGAAACATACAAATAATCATAACCAATGGCCAAATACATATCATTCAGGAATAGCAAATGCTAAGGAGAGACATAGGGGAAGGTAACTACTTTCATTGCAGTGGGACAGAGAAGTTAAAAAGAGATAATGAAAGGCTTCAGGGAGGAGGTATTTGAGTTAGTTCTTAAAGAATGGAAAGGATTTGTTTATTTTTATTTATTTATTTATTTTAGGTGTAGATGGACACAACACAATGCCTTTATTTTTATGTGGTGCTGAGGATCGAACCCGGGTCCTGCCTGTGCTAGGTGAGTGCTCTACAGCTGAGCCACAATCCCAGCCCAGGATTTGTTTTTAATGCACAAAGATGTTCTCTGTAACACTGTTATAAGAACAAATTCAAAACAAATGTTGACAATGTAGAGAATTAAATTATGACGTGCTTTGGTAATACCATTTAGCTATATTTTTTTAATGAGGCAAATTTATTTTATAACAACTTTTCAAGCTCTTCAAGTCATAGTAAGTAAACAAATTGCTTACCAATATGTTTAGTATCATTCCATTTTATTATATTTCTGCATATTCACTCTCCCAATTTATTTTTTAACTGATAAAAATTGTATATATATCATATACAACATGATATTTTAAAACATGTGGAATAGCTAGATAAAACTAATTAACAAGCATTACCTTATAGAGTTATTTACTTTTGTGGTGAAGACATTTAATATCCACTCTCTGTATCTTTGAAGAATATAACATATTGTCAAGTTATGTGAGGTAATACATATTTTAACCATTCTGCAATGCATATATATTTCAAAACATCATGTTATACATACCCATTTAAAACAAATTAAATAAATCTGAAGAAAATATATTGCAATTCATCTATCCATTTATTGATGTGTATTTCAGGTAGTTGCAATTATATAGGGCTGGGGCTGTAGCTTTTGATGATTACCTGTCCAGCATGTGTGGAGCCCTAGATTTAATCCCCAGTACTGAGATGGGGGAAACAATCCCTAATAATTTTAGGACTAGGGAAAGTGGCATGGGGGTGGGGATGTGGCTCAAGCGGTAGCGCGCTTGCCTGGCATGCGTGAGGCCCGGATTCGATCCTCAGCACCACATACAAACAAAGATGTTGTGTCTGCTGAAAACTAAAAAATAAATATTAAAAAAAAATTCTCTCTCTCTCTCTCACTCTCACTTTCTCTTTTTTTTTTTAAAAGAAAGAAAGAAAGTGGCCTGATTGGAGGTATAATATTTTAAGCAGGTTTTCCTGGTCCTAATAGTTGAATTGGAAGAGAAGAGGTTGGGAAACAAGTTTAGGTACTAACATAGTTCAAAAAGTAAGTAACTGAAATGGCAGGGAGGTAAGAAACAAAGCATAAGATGATACACACCAAATCCAAGAATAGTCAGGGCTTTAACTAAAGAGGAAGATGATGGTACTATTAATAGAGCTTGGAGCGGGGGAATCTATGACATTAATTCAGTTGTTAAAAAAAAAAAAAAACTCTAAACATTGGGAATTCAAGAACAGGTCTAAAGGGAGATGTGAGTTTGGTTTAAATTGTTGAAAAATTATCCTAGTGTGGAGAATGGGAATCTCTCCTGCAACATTAATTAAAATGTTGGGTATTTAAGTTAATTTCTGTTTCTTCTCCACAGAACAATAATTGAGTAAATTATGGCATATCCATTTGCTCAAATACTGTACAACTATTTAAAATTATATTTATAAAGATTATTAATGCTATAGAAAAATGTAAGATCATAATGAATAAAAATTATGTACAAAAATACAAAATTTCTTAAAGTATAAAAAATCAATGGAATAAAAACCTGGAAGGCATAAATCATGATAGTAATAGTGGTCAACTCTGGTATAAATTTTTTTCCTTTTCACATCTTTATTTACTATAATGAATGACTACGTTACTTTTAAAACAACAATCAACTAACTTTCTTACTTAAAGAGAACTACCAGCCAACTCTGTTGTAGGTGTCCTAACTATAACTCACCTTTCAGGACGGTTTACTGAGAGTTGGAAGTAGTTCTTTGCCATTTCTAGCCTTTCTTGGTACTGAGCAGAACCTTCTATTAGTCCCTTAAAAAAATAATAATGGTGTGTCAGAATATTACTTACAAAGTATCATTAAAATAACACCAGCAACTTTCAGGGAAGCAGTGTAAGATGTGTTCTTTAGGAATTATAAGGCCAGAGTCCTAGTTCCTGTTTTGTCATTAATGTACCTGTTTGGGCTCCAGTTTCTTTAAATGAATAGAGGGAGTAGGCCAGATGTAGTGGTTTCTAATCCTGTTCAACATTCAGGGTCTACTTCCAGTTTGGAAAGTTTTCTACCTATTTCTATTATTTAATTATTTATTAAGGTATAATAGGGCTGGGGATGTGGCTCAGTGGTCGAGCATCTTAGTTCAATCCCCAGTACCAAAAAAAAAAAAAAAAAAAAAAAAGATATAATTGATTAATTACAAAGTAATTTATAAAACAAAGTACAGAAAGTTTGCAAAATGAATCAAAAGTAGCCTAGAGCTGGGGCTGTGGCTTAGTGGTAGAGCACTCGCCTGGCACATGTGAGGTACTGGGTTGGATCCTCAGCACCACATAAAAATAAAATAAAGGTACTCTGTCACCTACAACTAAAAAAAATAAATAAATAAATAAATAAAAATAAATAAATAAATATATATATAGCCTGATTTCATTACAACACATCACTTCTATTTTCTACATGCATATTTATAATGGTATTCATACTTAATGTTTTATATTACTCAAAAAATGTACTATAATAGCTTATATACTTTTTCAAACTGCTTCACAATCTTTATAATCATCACATTCTTATGGACTTCTCTACTTTGAATAATAATTCAAATAAAGGTTTTGAGTTTGAGCCTTTCTCTAGCTTCTGGGACCTACTATTAAATTATTCTCAATCAAGGTTCTACCAATTTACAATGTTACTTTACCAACAATGTACAGGAGTACTAAGTTTAACATACTCTTGATTGTATTAAATATCACTCATATCATTTTTTACATACATGAAGAATTGTTTTCCAAACTGAACTCATACGCTTATCTTTAAACCTATGATGCTGTATATTTTGAGAGACATTTACTAGTTGTCAACATTTTATCCACATATTTGCTGATTTTCCTATCTGGTATCTTCATGTTTGCTTATAATTTTTACAATTTGTTCATCTTATACAAATAATAACTTTCATCACTTAATACAAATAGTATTAGATTTCTCTAATACTGAAAATAGTCAAGATACCCTCTCATTACTCCATTCCAAGATCTTGGGTACCACTGAACTACAAAGATCCCCTTTAACTCAAGTTTCTATACCTATTTTATACATTTAAATATGGACCTCAGAACTAAAGTCACTGGCTTGATTTTCCCTGCTTTATATACTTTTAAAAATGTTACAAGTCCTACCTTAAAGTAATCATTCTTTTTCAGGCTTTCAAGGAAACTGGCCCAAAGTGGTGAGTTAGTCACAAGGGATTTCTTGGAGTCAGAAAAATGTGGGCTACATTTGGAACATAAGATCTCAAATCCATGAGCCTAGATGAGACAGGCAAAATTTTTATTATTAAGTTACTGTTTTCCCATATTATCTTATTAAGATACTCTCTATCTACTTAGCCATACTCAAGAACTAGGTGACTGGACACATGGGGATATGGACACTTCTAACACTTTTTCAATTTTATGAAAAATACAAATTTATTTCCAAGCTTCTGATTCTCTTTAGAATACTAAATATTATAAAAGGAAAGAAAACTTTAAAAAAAAAAAGATTCCTGCTCTCTTTAAAGAAATTCCTTTTCCTGCCGATTACAAAAAACAGAAATTAAAACATTTTTCATTTGACTATAAAAAGGCTTACAGAAAGTTTTTCTGTAACAGAAATTAGAAATTAATTGGGAATGGTCTCAGATATATGAAAGGGATGAAATCATTTCATTTTAAGGCTTTATATTTAAAAATAAAACAGATGGGTATAACAAAATAATTCAATCACAGAGCTTCCCTGGTCACTCTAAAGGAGATTGTTACTAACCATTTTCATCTCCTTTTGAAGTAATGCCCTCAAACAGATATCTGCATATGTACATCTTGCTAGTCCACGCCTTTGTCACTCAATAGCAATACACTCTATTCTGAACTTTGTTTTTCATGCTTAACCATATTATTGGAGAACATTTCATACGGACACCTATCTTGCTTCATGGATAAGTGATAATTTATCTAATTATTCTTCTATAGACATTTAAGAAGTTTATAATTTTCAGCTACAATAAACAATAAGTAGGCATATATATCTTTGTGCATATATAAAGTACATGGAAGAAACATTCTAAATGTGAAAATGCTGAGCAAAAGGATTTGTGCAGTTTAAATGTTGGTGGATATTGCCAAATTGTTCTCCTAAGAAGATGAATCAATTTCTAGTTCTATCACCAATGTTCAAGTCTACCTTTTCTTTATATATTCTCACCAATCCAGCACATGTATCAAATTTTTTGATATTTGCCAAATATAATGGTAAAAAACACTATTTTGTAGCTTTAAATTGAATTTCTTTAGTACAAACAAGGGTTAACATTTTTCACATTTAACTTGAGTTAAATAATTTGTGTTTCCTTTTCAGTGAACAATCTGTTCACATTTTCAGAACATTTTTTAATTAATTGATTAGTATTACCTTTTTCATATTGACTTATAGGAATACTTCCTATACTAGAGAAGTCAGTTCTCTTCATTTAGGTTGCAAATATAATATTTTTTCCAGGTTTGTACTCTTATGACATTATGGGATTTTTCTTCCTCAAGCAGAAATTTTTACAAAATCAAATTTTTTGATCTTTTCTTTTATTGCTCCTGCTTTTAAATCATGTTTAAAAAGACCTTTCCTGGGCTTGTGCTGTAGCTCAGTGGTAGAGCGCTTGCCTAGCATGCGTGAGGCACTGGGTTTGATCGTCAGCACCACACAAAAATAAACAAATAAAATGAAGGCATTCTGTTCATCCACAACTACAAAAAAAAAAAAAAACACCCCAAAAAACCTTTGCTATTCAGATCATAAAGTGTTCTCCTGTGTTTTCTTTTAAATTTTATGGTTTCAATTTTACATTTAAATATTTTATCTGACTGGAATTTATTCTAGTATAGGTGTGAGGGAATCAACTTTAATTTTGAAGATTGCTTTACAGTTGTCCTATCATCATTTATTGAATAATCCATTATTTCCTTCCAATTTAAAGTAGCACATTTTATTATATTCTTACATAAACATGGCATATTTCTGGACATTCTGTACTGTGTCTTTATTCTGTCAATAAACCTTTTACATAAAAGAAGGAAAAAATAATGCTAGATCAACATTACCAATTTCATGCCCAATTCATGGGCTCGGTACTGAGGATGAGATGGAGGAGGAAGCTCATATCCACTCCGTCGATCTGGCACAAATCTCTGTTGTACTAGCTGTGCATACAGACATTTAGTGAAAGTGACCTGGGCATTGGGACACAAAATACATAAGTCTCTTTGGGAAATTAAAAATTTGAATATCATTTTACAGTTAAATCTAACAATAATTCATTTATGAGCTTCATACTTATATATTCCCAAATGAAATGAAAAGACCACCCAACCTATTCACTGCATACTTGATTTCAATAACATCTTTATGAGACATAATTCACATACCATAAAATTTACCCTACTGCCTACTTTTTATTTGTCAGAAGTGGAATTCTTTTATTTATATTTTGGTGGTGCTAAGGATCGAGTCCAAGCTTCTTACACTTGATAGGCAAACACTCTCCACTGAGCTCCACCCTCAACACTCTACAATGGAATTCTTATTATTAATTACATTTTATGGCAGTTTGGGGGATAGAAAATAAAAGAATACTTCTTAATTCTCTGGGAGAGATGACACATTTTATTATTAAGAAGTAAATAATTCTAGAAATAGGGGAAATATAGTCAAAAATAGCCAGGGAACACTGAGATATAAAATGGGTAGTCAGGTCTCTTGAAAACTTCCTCCATTGGGTGGAAAAAAAGAATGAAGAAAAAAAATGTGTGTTAACTTGCTATAAGGAACAGAATATATTCAACTTTTTCTAGAGAACAATTAAAATTATGTTTTAACTCTTCAAAGAGAGAAACTAAATGACCAAGAAAGATATCTTACCAATGTCATTATTCGTGTTTCAGGCAAGAATGTCTTAAAAATACGACAGGCTCGTAGGTCAATGGGGTCTCGCAAATAAAATGCCTGAACTGCAGCAGCCACTAATCTGGGCTGCTGCTTTAGTACTGCTACAATGCCAGCTGGAAGGAAGCAGTGTGCTCGATGAAGGGAAGCTTGAATTTTTTCTGGGTACCTATGACAGGTAACAGAGTTGCTTTTGTTTTAATATAAATATCTATAATTTTCATACCATTTACTTCCCCTTTAACATCTTATTTTGTCATGGTTCATCAAGAATAGAAAGTGACAAGAGAGGTGAAAAGAAAGATATACTGTACATACTCTAAGACTGTAGGAAAGAAGAGAGGAAAAATAAAAAGTGGGAAGAAATGGAAAACAAAAAAGAGATTATGGCAGCTAAAACAACAACAACAACAACAACACACACACACACAAAACCTACTATAATTTGGAATAAGGATAAGCTCAGGCTTTATTTTTCCAAAATAAAGCTAAAAGAGATATTTAATATAATTAAGATCTGAATGGTATTAAACACTTAATAGGTATTCAAATTTAAATGGCTGAACTAAAATGTTAGTATGGTGATGTCTTCTTTCTCTTCTGAAGGAAATTTTTAAGTATTTCACATACATCAAAGAATACCACATATTGTTCCAGAACCACAGGAAAAAACTTGAGCACATCATGCTTCCTTAAGTTTTCATTTAAAGATCTAATATGTTCTTATACAGGGATAGAGATAACAGCCACAATACCTAAGGTAAATAAATGCAAAAATATTGGGATTCGATTATAATACTTTTGAATGGGAAGTAAAAGATACATCTACACCAGGCATGAAGACACACACCTGAAGTCCCTGTCACAGGGGAGACTGAGGCAAGAGGATCACTTGGAACCAATAGTTCAACCGCAGCCTGAGCGACATAGTGAGAAGCTGTATTAAACAACAACAGAAACCCTATTTCTTAGTTTTAAAAATCCATAAATTTAACTTTCTAGTCAATTTCATGAAGAGAGATGGTATTTGTAATTTCGGTGAAAGGCATTCCATATTCAGTGAAAGACTTGAGTCCTACTAAAACAAAAGGCTCCTCAACAAACAATGACAGTTATTTTTCTTACCCTTTGATACGCCTGTTAACAGAAGCTCGTACTAATTCTGAAGCTAGAACTTTTTCTGGGTGTGCCGAGATTATAGTCAATGCTTGTGGGATTGTTGGGGATGTAGTGGGTAACCAGGATTCAGCTTCAGGTTTTCTTGGTGCAGGAATAATACACAACTCACCCTGGTGGAAAAAGACCTGCAAAATGGCACATTTTAATTTCATAGCAGGCACTAGCAAACGCTAAGGTACATGTGAAAACAATGTAGCATAATCTCATCTCTGGAAATATTCTAAACCTTTTTAAACTTACCCTATTGACACTATTATCAGGATCCAACCATTTAGGGAGGAAGTCGGCAGCTTCTATTAACAAGAATTGACCATCATTGTCTTCAATCCTAATGAAAAGAAGATTCAATTTTGCATTCAAAAAGCACATATTTGCTAGTTTTCAAAATAGCTTTAGTCTAATAAAATTTTTCCTTCATCTTAGTAGATAAATATATACTTTGTATAGATTACTATAAAAAAGCAAAACATTTAAATACCAGTAAGCACTAAAGGAGTCTATAAGATTGTAAGGAGGAACTAGAAAGAGATGACAAGGAAAGAAAATAAGAAAAGCAAGTAACATTAGACAAAAATATGAAATTATGCAAGGTAATATAGGTTTCCAAAAGAAAAAAAATCACATATAGCCAATATTAGGAAAGTCTTTATGTAGGAAGTGTTATTTGAGCCTTGAAAGATATATGTATGTATATGTATATATATACATCCATAGTACACGCAAATGTATATGTCAGTATACACACACATACATACATACATATATGTTTTTGGCCTCACATTATTTTTATTTAATTTGAATATATTCACATGGTTAACATTTTTTTAAAAAAATACAAAAATTTACAGAATGAAAAGTCTCCCTAACTTCTGTTCCTATCTGCACATTCCTACCCTCCTCTATTGTTTTTTGTATATCCTTGCAGATCTTGCCTATGTGTAATGTAGTGAACATGTTATTGTACGACACAGTACCAGTAGTTAATAACAGTGTATTGCATTATTGGAAATATTTCAGAGATTTTTAAGTGTTCTAACCACAAAAATGTAAGAGAAATAATGCCTATGTTAATTAGCTCAACGTAGTCATCTCACAATATATGAAACATATTAAAATATGGTGCTTATGAAAAATATATACAATTTTTATTTATCAACTAGAAAAACAAAATAATGTTCAAAAAAAAATCAACTACACACAGTGGCTAATACATGTAATCCTAGCTGCCTGGGAAGCTGAAGAGGGAGGATTGCTTGAACTCATGAGTTCCAGACCAGCATGGGCAACATCTCAATAAATAAATTTTAAAAAGCTTAAAAATAAAAAAATAAAGAGTTCTTATTCCTTAGCCTTACATCCTGAATTAAGGATCAAATGGCATAGTATTGGATATTTACCTTTAAATAATTTTTCTATATGATGGAGGAGTAGGGGAAGGTGTAAATAAAATAATAATGACCATAAATTGGTAATTGTTGAAGCTGGATGATGACTACAAATGAGTTCATTCTCTCTTCTTTTATGTGTGCTTAAAATTTCAATAATAAAAAGTTTCCAAATTTTTCACCGCTTCTCTTTTGTTCTGTTGGGAAAGTAGCTGGGTTGGTAGAAAAAGATTAGATTTGGGGAGCTGACTAGAAAAACTAGAAAAAAAAAATGTAACAGTGGGATAAACCGCCCTCTGCTGGCACAGGCTGGGAAATTACAAAGAATAATGAGTTCCATTTTTAAAAACCCAATTATATACAATTTTACTACTTTGCTTCCTATGCTGATTTCTGCTTACATTTCTTCTGTGTATAACTTCTCAAAAATATAGCAATGGAGATACATATTAAAGAAATCTGTGAAGTATGTATTTGAATGGTCTCTCTTATGTTTTGGATTTATGGTTAGCTTTATTTTTAAAATTTGTTCTAAGTAGTTATACATGACAATAGAATGTACTTTGACACATCATATATAAATGGAGTATAATTTCTCATTCTTCTGGTTGTATATGATGTAGAATCACACCAATTGTGTAGTCATATATGTACAGAAGGTAATAATGTCAGATTTATTCTACTATCCTTCCTACCCCCATACTCCTCCCCTCCCTTCACTCCCCTCTACCTGATCCAGAGTAACTCTGTTCTTCCCTAGCTCCCCCCACCTCTTATTGTGAATTAGCACCCGCATATCAGATAAAACATTTGACCTTTGGTTTTTTGGGATTGGCTTATTTCACTTAGCATGACCAATAAATGAGATAAGGAACTCAACAGACTTCACCAAAGAAGAAATACAATTGATCAAAAAATATATGAAAAAATGTTCAACAACTCTAGCAAATAGAGTAATGCAAATCAAATCTACTTTAAGATTTCCTCTCACTCCAGTCAGAAGGGCAATTATCAAGAATATAAGCAACAATAAATGTTGGCGAGGATGTAGGGGAAAAGGTACATTCATACATTGCTGGTGGGACTGCAAATTGGTGCAACCATTATGGAAAGCAGTATGGGGATTCATCAGAAAACTTGGAATGGAACCACTATTTGACCCAGTTATCCCACTCCTCAGTTGATACCCAAAGAACTTAAAATCAGAATACTACAGTGATGTAGCCACATCAATGTTTACAGCAACTCAATTCACAACAGCTAAACTATGGAACCAACCTAGGTGGTCAACAACAGATGAGTGAATAAAGAAAATGAGATACACACACACACACACACACACTGGAACATTATTCAGCCTTAAAGAAGAATAAAATTATGGCATTTACAGGTAAATGGATGGAGCTAGAGAATATCATGCTAAGGGAAATAAGCCAACTCCAAAAACCCAAAGGCCAAATGTTTTCTAGGATATGTAGATGAATGGTCTCTTTTTCAACCAGATAACAAAAGAATTTAATGTCGATTACTTCTAGGAAACCAGAGGAGTACAATCTTTTGTATTGTTTGAGTTTTAACGTGAATTTTTTTTTTTGTAGCTAGAATTTAAAAAAATAGAATTTAAAATAAGTATGCTTTGTTTCCAATATTTTGGAAGTTGAACTCTTCAATAATAATTTCCCAAGAAAAGGCAGTCATAAGAGAAGGGGAAGAAAAAACACTGAGGTAAATTTTTAGTTATGTCCCAAATTTGCACAATTTTGACCAGAGCTCAGAAAAAGAATTGTTAAATGTTTAAAAATGTGGTGACTTAGTTTAAAAAAATAAATTCCTTTAGAATAATTAAAATAACCTACAATACCTTGCTATTAACTCTGGAAACTCCTTTGTAATTTCCCTTATTACATAAACGATGAACCATTCATCCTCAATATTATCCCCAAACTTTGTCACGCCATACAAATGAGCAGGAACACTTCCTAGAAGTATAAAAAAAGCAACCATATGATCAGATAAATTTGTCACTGCAAATAAAAATATACACAATCATGCAATCAAACAAACATTCACTATGATCCAAGTACTGTTCTGAGAACTGGAGTTGCAATTCTGAACAAGATACAAGATGCCTATTCTTGAGAAGCTCAGTGTCTAAAATAAGAGACAACCAAATCATCTCAAAACAAGATGATCAACCTAGAACAGAGGCATGCACTAAAGGTTATATGAATGTAACGGGAGTGATACCATTAAGGTGATGCTTCCTTTATTGTAAGAAAGAATGGTATCTGGAGGAATGACCAGAGATGAATTTCCCAGAAAAAGGAACAGCATGTGCAAAGGCACAGAGGCATAATAGACAACAGCATTCTGGAAATATCAGGAAGTTGGATTTAGAGAAGCTGAAAATTTCATACAAGCATACTATACACAAATATATGGAAATTAAACAACACACTTTTAAACAACCAATGAGTCAAAAATGCAGTCATAAGGGAAATTAGAAAATATCTTGAGACAAATGAAAATGAAAGCACAACATACCCAAACTCACAGGACTCAGTTAAAGTAGTCTAAGAGAAAAACTTCATAGTTGTGAAATATTTCAAATCAGTAATCTAATTTTACACCCTAAGGAACCAGAAAAAGAAGTACAAACTACACCTAAAGTTAATAGAAGAAAGGAAACAATAAAGATAAATGAAATTAAGTATAGAAAAATAATATAAAAGCAACAAAACTGAATAGGTTTTTTTTTTTTTTTTTTTTTTAGAAAACATCAACAAAATTAGTTAACCCACTAACTAAATTAACTAAGAATAAAAGAGAAAAGACTCAAATTAAAATCAGAAATGAAACAGGGGACATTACAATCTATGCCACAAAAATAAGAGAATACTATGAACAATCGTACACCAATCAATTGGGAAACCTATGTGAAAAAGATAAATTCTTAAAATACAAAGCTTAATAATCCAGGTCTTGACTGAATTATGAAGAAACAGAAAACTTGAACAGAACTATAATTAGTAAAGAGACTTAATAAGTAATCAAAAACTTTCTAACAAAGAAAAATCCAGGACCAGATGGCTTCACTAAAGAATTCTATCAAATATTTAAAGAATTTAAGACCAATTCTCCTCAATGTCTTCCAAAAAGATGAAGGGAAGGGAACAGTCCCAGACTCATTCTCTGTGGCCAGTATGACCCTAATATCAAAGCCAGAAATGATAATATGAGACAAGAAATCTACTGACAGATATTCCTAATGAATATGGATGCAGAAATCCTCAATGAAATACTAGTAATCAAATTCAACAGCACATTAAAAGGATTAGAAATCACAACCAAGTGGAATTTATTACTGGTTTGCAAGGACAGTTTAACAACAACAACAACAACAAAATCAATCACTGTACACATTAACAGAACGAATGTCAAACAAATGCAAATGGAGAGTGTCTCCAAGACTGTGGTAGCAAAAAACAAGTGAAAAGAACATTCCACTCAACTCTTCTTCTCCCTACTCAGGATCTCTCAAGTTTCTTCAATTATAACAGCTCCAATTAGAGTACATCTTCCTTGTATATTAGACTTCCATTTAAACCTTTTCCTGAAGCAATGGGGAACTGGTAGAGAATGTTAAGCAGGATTGTGACATGATCGAATTTGTGTTCAACAAAGGTAACTGACAACAGTGTAAGAAATTGATGAGACTGGAACCACAGAGGTAAGTTAGAAGGATACTGTAATTTTCGAGAAGAAGGGATAAAAAGGGCCTACACTAAAGTCAAACAGATGTAGAAAAAGGATCATATTTAGGAGTAATCACATCAGGATTTAGTGCCTGAGTAAACATGATGAAGTGAGAAGCTGAGTATGATCATGAAATACTAAGTAACTTAGATGATGAGGAAGATAGCAATGACATTAAATAAGATGAGTAAATATAGGGTAAAGATGATTTTCTAGAAAACAGGTAAGGGGTTGGTTTTAGATGTACTATGCTAATGGGACAGCACTCTTGCAAAAAAAATTGCATATATTTCAGATATAGCAGAGAAAATATTTAGCCACTGCTAGCTAAAGATAAGATTGTGTGTCAGATTCATGGTATCACAAGATATCAATCTCCCCATGCCAGTGACTCCACATAAGTCACTGTGTGAGTAGAGCCTTGGTCATCTATCCTGAATTCATTTTCATAAAGCTATAAGAAATGATAGAACTGAGTGCTATATTTTGTCACAGGCCAGATCTCAAGCATCAACAACACAAGAAAGCAGTTAAGGAAACTCAAATGCTTCTGAATTGAGGCATCAATAGTGGTGTGTGCCTACAGTCCCAGGTAATTGAGAGGCTGAGGCAGGAGGACTGCTTGAGCTCTGGAATTTGAGACTAGCTTGGACAACACAGCAAGACCCTGTCTTAGAACAAAACAAAACCAAAAAATCTTATGAGTGGCAAATGATGGTCTAAAGCTTAATAAGCCAGGCAAAGTCAATCTTATATCCTTACCAAAACAATCATGTGAAAAAGGGCAGCCTACTAAACATATTATCATGATAAGAATTGAGAAATAGCAAAAGGAACTATGATTAAGGAAACCAGACACCTGCACCTCTTTAGTTTAGTCAGATATTTTATGGCATAGTAAAGTAATTAAAGTTTAAAACAATAGCTATGAACTTAATTTTTAGTACAAGCTAGTTCCTAGGTATTGACTATTGGAAAGTTTTTATCAATATAAGTTTTTTTTTTAAAAAGTTTGAGTTTAGGGGCTTGCCTGAATATAGGCAAGCCTTGTTAACCTAAAAAGTTGAGGATATAAATCTGACAACACTAAAGGAAGAATGAATCACTTTACCTTTCCCAGGTTTATATTTGAGATTAAAAGGCTGATTCTGCCAGATATAAGGGACTAGGATAGGTGCAAACAGGGACATTATTCTCTCAATATACTTCTGAAGAATTTCTTTTTGTTTCTCTGGGTCCCTTGATTCATCTGGTATCAGGAACAAGTGGTACTCCACAGTGTCTTCCAGTGTAACAAGCTTCATATTTTCCTCCATTTTTCCTTGAAAAGTACATTTAAAATTTCGATAGTATAAACCACATAGAACAGTGCAGAAAAAATGTCCCACTTCCTAAACTCTTCTAAATGACTGCATTCACATTGTTTTCTAAAATACTGTTATCCACACACTATTGTCATGGTTTTTGCCTTGACTATATACCATTTATAGTAATTTTTACTTCATATTTTTTAAAGACTTTTATACTTAAAACTATGTTTTATTACACTTCAAAATAGATTAAAAGGAAAACTTGATATTATACAGTGAATGGAAACCCAATATCACATTTCTACACTAATAAAGTTGTAGGAATAAAAATTTAAATGTGTTTGGGTACAATGGGCATGCCTATAGTCCCAGCTACTGGGTAGGCAGAGGCAGAATCATCATGTGAGTCCAAAAGTTAGGGACCACCCTGGGAAACATAGCAAGACTCCATCTCTTAAAAATAAATAAATGTTTGTCCTTGTACTAGCAGCGGTGTGTGTAACACACTTTGAGACACACTACACTAACATCCACTGTTTAAATAGTATCAAAAGTCCCACTTCTGGGCTAGGGATGTGGCTCAAGCGGTAGAGCGCTCGCCTGGCATGCGTGTGGCCCAGGTTCGATCCTCAGCACCACATACAAACAAAGATGTGTCCGCCGAAAACTAAAAAAAAAAATAAATATTAAAGAATTCTCTCTCTCTCTTAAAAAAAAAAAAAAAAGTCCTACTTCTGCCTCTAATTAGTTGCGTTACTTTAGGCAGTTCATTTCCCCTTTCTGGAGTTTTCTCCTTAATTGTGGAATGGGAGTGTGACTTTACCATTTCTACAATCTCTCCTGCTTTAAATTTGTGCCCTTTATATGCGCTAAAGAACAATCTCCCTTACTCTACAGAATTAAAAACTTTCCTTTTTACGAACATTGTATGGCATAGTAGAATACAAAACTACAAAAGATGTCTGCTCATTTCACCCCGAAACAATTTACCCACGATTCTTGATCTCACAACTCTGTCCTAAATCTGTCCCCTTTTCAAGTCTTGGGGGTCAATACCTCTGTTACACCAAGAGGTAGTAGATACTTTTCTAAGAATTTTCCTTACAAATATAAGGACTAGTTTACTATTGCTGTCGGGTGATGCTCAGTAAACGAAGGCACTGCACCGGAGGGACCACCCTAACACAGCGATTCGATTCTTCAGCTTACTCGTAAGGCTTTCTAATGAATTCCTGAGGAACTGCTTCTTCTATCCGCACACCCACTCATTGCGATCAGCTCACATCATCATTTTGCCTTTCAATCTAGAGGGACAACCAATTCTACCCACACACCCCTTAACGCCAAGCACCCACCTTTATACAGAATTTACAGTGTCAGGACTGGCCTTGAGATCACTCAGGTTAAGACCTCACAGAACAAACGAGAAAACCCGGAGCCCTGAAAGAGACGCGACCAAGCAGCAGGGACCTGAAGGTGTCTAGCGTTGTTTACTCAAATTAGGTTTCTCATTTCCATTAATTTTCCTCTTACGATTCTAGGCCCTCTCCCGTGCGCTTCTGCTGTGGGACCTTTCCTAGGCCTCCTCTTCTACTTGAGAGCTCTGAGAGCGTGACCCAGGATCTGTTTCCACCGACCCGAGACTAGCGGAAATCTTAAGAGAAAGCCTGAAACCCATCAGTTCCCGGAACCTTGGGTGTTGTCCTTGCTGCGCTTCGGCCGAGGCATTTGGCAGGTGCCCGCGTATTCGTCACTTCCGCCCCCGCTAGGAAGCTGGGAGGACGGAGGACAGGAGAGGTGGGAACCCTGGGACGGTAGTGATCCGGAGTCTCGGCGACGGGGCGAGACGGGGCCGGTAGGTGGTGGGAGGGGGCCCAGCCGGAGCCGGCTGGAGGGCCAGGCCCGGAGGCCCCCACCCTGGCGTACCTGCCCCTGCCGCGGCTGAGGAGGAGGCGGCGGAGGAGGATGATCTCCAGATACACTCGGAAGGCCGTGCCGCAGACCTTGGAGCTGTGAGTGGACTGCTAATCCATCCCAGCCCGGGAGACTGAGGCGGGTCGTGGGCTCCCTGGGGACCCTCCATAACTAGTCTTTCTCGCCTTTCTTTTCCTGGGGTTGGGGAAACTAAATATTGCCTGGAATTCTCTCTTCCCAGCCTTGGTGGACACTTGTCCCTCCGCCTGCAACTGAGGGCGTGTCTCGCGACCTGTAGCCTAAGACTTGATCTCTTGAGCAGTACTAACTGATTATAGGAACTGGGTCTCCTAAGGCGTTTGTAGTTCCTACAGTGCTTCAGGCCCCACTGCCAATGGTAATTGACAACTGGAGAAGTTATTAATAATCGAGTGTTTCAATAAAGTTGAACACCTCAAGTGCCAGACATCAATGCAAATCTGTTTACATGCATTATCTCAATCATTCCAACATTGATATTAGATTGAGTATTTTATTTTGGACATTCTACAGATAAAGTTCCCACATTTCAAGATTGTAACATGTTAAAGGTTACACACAGCCGGGAGGTAGTGGAGCTCAGAGGTACAAACCCTGTGCAATCTGACTCTGAACCCGGTGGTCATAATCATTATATATACTGCTTCCCCACCTCTTAAGCATCAGAACGTAAAAGAATCAATTTTTCTTTTTAGACTAAAAAGCAAGTATTTCTAACTTAAAGACCCACTTCTTGTCCTTAACGTAATGTTGTAATTTAGCAAGTAATGCTAATGTCTTCCCATTACTAAGTCAAAGTCCTTTGCTTTTTGATCCTTATAACAACTCTGTAGGAAGGGTTTGATTATCTTCAGTTTTTCAGGTGATGAAATTATATGAAAAAGTTTACTCATTTTAAGGTTACATAGCCAATAGAATCAGGATTTAGGCCTGGGCTTTAAAAAATTTTCCCTTTTCATTGATCTCTGTTATTTTAGCCGCCATACATCATTTACTAAATATTAATTACATATGGCAAAAGCAAGCATATTTTAAGTATGCTGAGTTTCTAGCTGGACTCTTTTCTAGCTATGAAATTTTTTGGCAAATTACAAAATCTCTCTGCCTTCATTATGTAAAAGCATGTCTACAATGATGGCATAGGGCTTCTCATGAAATAAATGTGTCCTCAGTAAATGGTAATTTCCTTTTACATATCCACCTTTACTTGGTACAATAGACATACAAAGAAAATAAGTCTAAAATCTCTCTTTGTGTTTCAAAAGCTTATTATCTGTTAAGGAATAGGATATCTGCCCAGTAGCCATTCAGATAATAAGGAACTGGAATGAAGAACAGTCGTTTCATAGTAAAGTGAACAGCATTTAGCTTAAAATCTACTTTTATAGTTAATTCCAACATACTGAAAAGTTAAAACAAATCTTGTGTGGGGAAAAAAATATGAATAAGCAGTTAAGTATTGAATGGATTGAAGTTATTGACCCAGTGTAGTTACATTACTTGTTCTTGGTTGGTAATTTGATAATCCCAAAAGATGATTCTCCATCTGGAATCACAGTGAAGTGAGTAATGAAGATAAAATGTGCATAAAAGACAGTGCAATAAAAGGGCTTTTTAATCAAGATGCTATATACTGTCCTTTGAAGCAGGAACTTTAACTTTCTTCCTAACAATTATAAATTATAGATGTTGAAGAGAGTTTGGGAAAAAGAGATTTTCAACACACAGCATAACTTTTTTAAATGAAAAATTTCAAACATAAATATATTGAGAATAATATAATGAGCCACCCATTACTCCATACTCAACGATTGTCAACTTATTAAAATGTATTTGCTTCATCTATCTTTTATCTCTTTGTAGCTTTTCTCTGAAAGAAGGAAAACAAAACCCCCAGGATACTGGTTTATGTTGTCATTTTGTCTGTATTCATATCCTGTATATCTCTAAAAGCTAAGGACATTTTCTTATGTAATCAAAATGCTGTTGTTACATTTAATAATATTTCTTTGTTATTTTTTGTCACTTCCTTGACTAAAAAAAATGTTTTTAAGTCTCTATTTCATAGCTAGAATCCATATTTCAGATTCCTCCCATTTTATCAAAGATAGGCTTTTAGTTTTAGGTTCACTGAATGAGAGCAGTACAGATGGCTCTGCAGAAATTAATTTCTACCATTAGAGAAAATTTAAAGGGAAAGCTTCGTTGACCTGATCCTTTGCTTTATGTTTATATATAAAAATGATACAATTTACTAAAGTCTCAAATTTTATTTCCACTTAGAGGCCTTGGAACCAGACTACTTAGATTTGAATCCTGACTCTACTTACTAATCATATGACCATAAGCAGGTTACTTAATCCCTCTGGCTTCAGTTTCCTTCCCTGGGGAATGTACTAAATTTATAATATAAATTTCTGTATTAAAGGACATGGGAAACCTATTATAAAGAAACTTGGGTAGCTTTGTTTAACTAGCCAGACTCCTAAATTTATTTGACTGCAGAATTTTATGAGGAAGGAAAGTACTGTAGATGATTAGGATTGGAACATGTAATAATTGACCCATAGTTTATTCCAGTGCACATGTCCAATAGAAAATAGAAATTCCAGATAAGCAATGTCCAATAGAAAATATGATATGAGCTGCATATGACATTTTAAATTTTCAGGTGGTTACAACAAAAAATAAAAAAGTGAAATCATCATAGACTCAGAGAAAGTTGCAAAATTAGTATATAGAACCCCATGAACCCTTCATTCAGTTTCCCTCCGTTGATGACATCTAGGTAGCTTTAGTATAATTTCAAAGCCAGACACTGACATTAGTACAGTAAAGTTAACTAAACTACAGACCTTATTCAGTTTTCACCCATTTTTACATCCTGTTGTCTCTGTGTGCATATATGTATGCATGCATATATACACATAGTTCTATGCAGATGGTCTAATTTATAGATTGTTTAACTACCACTACAATCAAGTAGACATCTGTTTTGCCACCACCAAGGAACTTCTTTGTGTACTCTTATTAGTCACATCCCCTCCAGCAGCTACTGCTATGTTCTCTATCTCTATAGTTTTGTTATTTGTGAATGTTATATAAATAGAATCATAGAGTATACATAATTGTGATTGGCTTTGGCTTTATTCACTTAAGCATGATACATTTGAGATCCATCCAGGTTGCTGCATGTATCAATAGTTCATTTCTTTTGATTGCCGAATTATTCTATTGTGTGACTATACCAAAGTTTAATCATTTACACATTGGACATTTGAGTTGATTACAGTTCTTTTTCAACTATAACAAAAACTGCTATGAACATTTTGTGTATGTTTTTGCATGTGAATATAAGTTTTAATTTCTCTGGTCTCAAATACACAACAGTTTAACTGCTAGGTCTTTTGGTAAATGTATGTGGGGGTTTTTTGTAAGAAACTATTGAACTATTCTAGCGTGGCTATACCATTTGACATTCTTGCCAGTAAAGTATTATATGATATCCCGTTTATTCCACATTCTCACCTGCATTTAGTGTTATCAGTATTTTTTATTTTAGCTGTTCTGATAGGTGTGTAGTGATATCTTACTGTATTCTCAATTTTTTAAATTAATTAATTCATTTTAATTAAGTACATATGACAGCAGAATGCATTTTGATTCACGATGTAGTGTCACACCATATGTGTAGTCATACATGTACCTAGGGTAATGATGTCTATCTCATTCAGCCATCTTTCCTGCCCTCATCCATCCTCCCCACCCTCCCTCTCCTTTGCCCAATCAAAGTTTCTCCATTTTTCCCATGCCTCCCTGCTCCCTGTTATGGATGAGATCCACTTATCAGAGAGAACATTTGGCCTTTGGTTTTTTGAGGTTAGCTTACTTTGCTTAGTATGATATTCTCCAACTCCATCCATTTACCTGCAAATGCCATAATTTTATTCTCTTTTAATGCTGAGTAATATTTCATTGTATATATACCATAGTTTCTTTATCCATTCATCTATTGAAGGACATCTAGGTTGCTTCCACAGTTTAGCTATTGTGAATTGAGCTGCTATGAACATTGATGTGACTGCGTTACTATACTATGATGATTTTAAGTCCTTTCGGTATAGACTGAGGAGTAGGATAGCTGGATCAAATGGTGATTCCATTCCAATTTTTTTAAAGGAATTTCCAAACTGCTTTCCAGTTTGGTTGCACCAATTTGCTCCCATCAACATTGTGGGAGCAAATTTTTGCCACACACACGTCAGATAGAGCACTAACCTCCAGGATATATAAAGAACTCAAAAACCTTAACACCAAAAAAACAAACAGCTCAATCAATAAATGGGCTAAGGAGATAAACAGACACTTCTCAGAAGAAGATATACATTTAATCAATAAATATGTGAAAAAATGTTCAATATCCCTAGTAATTATAGAAATGAAAGTCAAAACTACTCTTAAGATTTCATCTCACACCAGTCAGAATGTTATTTCAAGGATACAGACAACAATAAATGTCGGTGAGGATGTGTGGGGGGAAAGGCACACTCATACATTGCTGGTGGGACTGTATTTTCAATTTTTAATGAAATTTCAAGAATATATTTTGTTTAACTAATATATCCAAAATATTTTAATATAGAATCAAGATAATAAAATTAATAAGATTGCATATTATTTATGTACTAAGACTTTGGAATCCAATGTGTTATACACTTAAAAAACAATCCGGGGTTCTCACA